TTAGGCTGGCTGGCCAATGAGCTTCAGGGATCTGCCCATCTCCACCCTCCCTTACCCCAGTGCCTGTGTTACAGGTGCCTTCTGTCATGAGTGCAGTATGAACAGACGAACATGTTTGTGTCTTTCTACAATGTTAGAAATTATTGAATCACAATAAATTCACAAGCTTGGGTGGTTTCAATGACAGCACTTTGTCATATAATCCACCTACCTTGGTAGCCTGGCCAAAGCTAAGACAAGGCTTTTGTTTTAATCTTAGTTACTAGTATTAACTTTCATATTACACTGTGCACAGTAAATATACCTATATATCTGTATATACATATATGTTACACAATGAATATACATTAAAGAGGCTGCAGCAGACTCCAAGAGGTTTCAGGGTAGACTGAGTCTATAAGAAGATAATGAACCAGACCAGTGACAGGATGGGGATGCTGCTGGAGCTGCTGGAGTTAGGTTTGAGAGCAAAGCCGCAGGGTTCAGCTGTGAGGCCAAAGACCACACCACGTCCAAAGCAGGAAATGGGTTGGGAGCAAGAAAGAGCGGGTCAGGTCCAGGGGGATGAGCAGGTAGACAGGCAGGTGGTGAAGCAGGCTGTACCAACAGGAGGGGCCCAGCAGAGTCAAAGCTCCAGGAACAGTAGGGGAGTCCTTGATCATTGACCAGGTATCAGATGACAGGTTGGTGTGGGGCTGATCCATCGAAATGTTAGGTGCCCATCACTTTATGGGGTCAAGGTGAGAGACTTACACCCTTTCTTTGGTCTGGTATATCCAATAAGTTCTTGGGCCTGTTTTCCCTGTTATGATATTAATATACCCATGTATCCCCACAGTCTCAATCCCTTCAATAAATGTATAGGCTGGCTCCTTTCTACTCCGAGGAATAAGTCACTTATCAGTCTGTGCTGGGTGAGTAGGGCCTGACACATGGCGCATTCCCCGCCCCCCCCCCGAGGTTACAGTCACCCTTCTCCTTCAAAGTGGAGTCATATCTGCTTATAAAACAGATCCTTGGGGCTGGGGAGATGGCTGGGTGGTTGAGAACACTGACTTCTCTTGTAGAGTATATCGGTTTCAGTTCTCAGCACCCACATGGTGGCTAACACCATCTGTAACTCCAGTTCTGGGGGATCCAACACAGCTCTTCTGACCTCCACTGGCACCGCACAGCATGGGTGTACTTACATACATACAGGCAAAACACTCATACACATAAAAACAAAAACAGAGTCTCCTAGGGGAAGGTACAGCCTGAAAAAACCACTGTTTATACAATATGGGGTAACTCAGAGAAGCCTCATCTCAACACCTGCCAAGCTGGGATCTGAACTTGGGTCCTGATGCTTGCATGCGCACACTTTACTGAGCCATCTCTCCAGCCTGGTCTTAATGTTTTTACCCTACCCCTCTCTCTAGTTGAGCCTTATTGTTCTAATTCAAGAGCACCTTGGGGTGATATCTGCACAAGTGGGACCCAGAATCTAATTCTGGGAGCCTAAAGCATCACCTGATGACCCCGAGGAGACCTTTGCTCAACCCATGACACGAAAGGGTTCCTACAGATGTTCAAGACACATCTTTCCCTCTTCCCCAGCCTCCGGGAATGTCGTGCAAGGAATCAAAAGATAGAGCTGAAAAACAGGAACATTTTCCCAAAGTGCCCACCCTAGCCATAAAGGCCTCGGACTGTTGTATCCTTCAAAAGCCTTCATTCCCTCTGGAAATGTAGCAGGGAGGAACCTCTTAGATGAATGCGAGGGTTCACTTCGGGGGTGCTCACTGCAGAGTTGTGTATGGGGTGGGAAGAGCCACCTAAATGTCTGCGGATTGGGAAATGATTCGCAATACAGCCACAAATAGAGACTGTCTGGGCTTTGGCATTTCCACAGCGGGGCAGCCGAGGACAGGCAGAAGTGCACGTGATGTGTGCCACAGCAAGGAACGAAATAGCGAGACTATCACCGAATAAGATCTACAGAGCGGTGGCTGTATGGATGTGTGCACAGCGGTGCATACATGCATGCATTAACATTTTAACTACTAACATTCTGGGAGACATCTTTTCCAATTATATTTGGGGTTCAGCAGTTGAGCATGTGTACTGTTCTTGCAGAGGAACCAAGCTCAGTTCCCAGCTCTCACAACCTGTAACTCCAGGTCCTAGGGGATTCAATGCCTCTGGTCTCCACAGCCACCTGCCCTCATGTACATACCTCCACACAGACACACATACACATAATTAAAAAATAATCAAAATATATCTTATAAAATAGTCCAAATGAATTTTGGATTGGAGAGATGATTCAGCAGTTAAGAGCACCGGCTGCTCTTGCAGAAGACGGGAGTTCAGTTTCCAAAACCCACATGGTGGCTAACAACTATAATTCCAATTCCAGGGGATCTGATGCCCTCTTCTGGCCTCTGCAAGCATTGCATGCATGTGGTGCACTTGCATACATGCAGGAAAAACACTGATACACATAAAATGAAAATAAGGCTGGGCGTGGTGTTGCACACCTTTAATCTCAGCACTTGGGAGACAGGCAGATCTCTGTGAGTTCAAGGCCAGCCTGGTCTACATAGAAAGTTTCAGGCCAACCAAGGCTTTTACAAAGTGAGACCCTGTTTCAATAAAAGCAAAACAAATAAAATGACAACAAAACAAGTCTTGGGCTGGGCATGGTGTTGCATGCCTTTAATCCCAGCACTCAGGAGACAGAGGTATGTGGATCTCTGAATTCAAGGTCACCCTGGTTTACATAGTGAGTTCTAAGTGAACCAGGGTTACATAGTGAGACCCTGTCTCAAAAATGAAAAACAAAACCCCGTCTTTGAAAAAAAATGTTTATGTGTATACAAAATTCATTCGTGTTTCATATACACCTTTAATACATAGCCTGAAGGCAATCTTGTACAGACTTTTTAGGATCCCTGCATTTCAACTTTGACCTGATAATGAGGTCAGATGTGGAACTGTCTCCTTTGCTGTCATGTTGGTACTCAGGAGTTTGGAGGGGGAGAGTTGGTCTCATTGAAGGGTAAGACCCTTGGTGATTGACAAGGCTCCAGTGGATGGATCCACATCGAAGGGCATTTGGGGACCCAAGTTTGACTCTATAGGCATATACATATATATGCATAAATATAATAGAGTACATAAAATTGGGTGGGGAGTAGAGGGGGGCAGATGGGGGAGGGAATCTAAATTCAATCAAAATATATTGTATGAAATCTGCAAAATTCAATTTTAAAAAAGTCCGAATTTGGATTTCAGATTTCTGGTTTTTGGATTAGGAAAGCTCTCCTTGCATACAACACATATAGTATGGAATCATCTGGATGGCCACAGGCAGTGCTGTGTAGTGTGTAGTACTGTAACCCAGCACTTGGAAGGGGCAGGCGAGAGGACAATGAAATTAAGGTCTTCCTCAGCAACTTCCTCAGCCTCCAGTTGGAGGCCAACCTGGGCTACGGTCTGTGTCTCAAAAACAAATAAACAATCAAGCCCATATCATGTGTATATATGTAATTTTTTTCTTTCCATATGTAATAATATATAGTTTCTTATGTACAGTTCATATATAGGAACAGTATATATATATATATATGTATATGTATATATGCATATATCTGACTGCAGACAGCTAGAAGAGGTTGGGACTAGCTCAGTAGCACAGTGTTTACCTAGCATGTACAAGGCCCTAGATGTGATTGTTAGCACTGAAATAAAAGAGAGAATGAAAAAGAAAAAAACACCTGTGAGGATGTCCATTCACATGTTATCAGTGGCACTCTCTGAGCAGTGTGGTTAGGGCTAATTTTTTATTACATTTACATATTGTGGGGGGTGGAGGCACATGTGTGCATGTGTGGAGGTCAAAAAACAACTTTTAGGAGTGGGTTCTCTCCTACCACTATGTGGGTCCTGGGGATTAGGCTCAGGTTGTCAGTGTTAGCAGCAAGCACCTTTACTTGCTGATCCATCTCGCTGGCCCTGAATATTTTACTGTGGTCCCCCCCCCCCCCCCCGCTGGAAGGCTCTGAATTTCCCATGACAATGTTATCTTTTTTTTAAAAATTACCACTACTAACTACTTAGTACGATCATAAAACAATTAGTGTAGGATTTTCTTCCATCTAGAATTGTCCTTGGTCTTTGAAGTTGGGGTATTCAAGGTAGCCGTGGTCAACGGGGCAGAGGCTTAAGAGCTGGGACCAGGCAGGGACTACCTTGAGCAGGTTCACCTGAGACTGCTGAACCTCTGCCTGCATCCTGCTAGGCTCCCTACTTGTCTTAGTTCATCTTCTGTGGCTGTAACAGAATACTTGGGTCTGGGTAATTCATAAAGAGAGAAGGTTGGTTATGGCTCATAGTGGTGAGGGCTGGAAAGTTCCAGTTTGTATGGATTTAATCTAGCCATGTCTTGTGCTGCATCCTAACAAAGTAGCAGATAGCCACAGGTATGTGCAGGTACGTGCATGTATGTGCAGGTGAGTGCAAGTGCATGCAGGCAAGAAGAGCAAGTTGAAGAACTGGGGAATGGAACATGCTTTCTGACATCTGCTTCCTAGGCAACTACTCCAGGCCTCTGAGAGCAAGAACTCACCTCCATCCTCTCCTCTCATACCCTATCACAGGGCTCAGTACTTCTTAGCTCCATCACGCAGGGGACCAAGCCCCGACAGGAGTCATATTTGAACCGTAGCACAGTGAAGACTATGGTTCCCAGTCTCTATCAGTGCAGTTTGCAGTCTCTGTGCCTCTGCAATGTGGGATGGCTGCTGGGGCACAGCTGTTCCCCAGAGTAATAACACAGTTTGCCCTGTTGGAATTCTTACATTTTGGAAAGACAGGGTGTCACTGTGTTACCCATATAGAACTTGAACTCATGATCTTTCTGCCTCTGCCTCCCTAGTAGCTGAAGTTAGGAAATGCAACCCTATTTTGAAAGCCCATGAGGCCTTGGGGTCCTGACACGTTTCCCATTTTCACAGGCCAGTTGGATATCGTCTCCATGGCTGAAACCAGCATGATGCCTGAGGAGATTGAACTGGAGATGGCGAAAATCCAGCGTCTTCGAGAAGTCTTGGTCCGCAGGGAGTCGGAGCTCAGGTTCATGTGAGTGATGGGAAAGCAGGGATGGGAGTATAGAGGAGGGAGGTGGCTTGGAGAAGAGGTCCCTGAGCACCAGGCGTTACACCCACTAAGAAAAGCCTCTCACACATACCACACATACTCAAGGAAGCAACTGCAATTAACGTTGATGGATCACCAAAAACACTGTTTTAACCAGGTTAAAAGGAAATGAAGAGCTAGGGAGTGTTTTATTATTTTTATGAGGAGAGGGAGAGGGAGAGGGAGAGGGAGAGGGAGAGGGAGAGAGAGAGAGAGAGAGAGAGAGAGAGAGAGAGAGAATGAGAATGAATGAGAATGAGAATATACATATATGTGTTGATGCCCATGGAGGCCAGAATAGGGTGTCAGATGCCCTGGAACTGGAGTTATGAGCAGCTGTGAGCTGACAGATGTGGGTGCTGGGAATTGAACTCCAGCCCTCTGCAACAGCAGCAAGTGCTCTTAATCTCTGAGCCATCTCTCCAGCTCCAAGATCCAAGATACAGAAAGATTATTTTAGACTCATAGATGATAAGCCCCAATTTAGTCAAGGTTCAGAAAGCCAGCCTTTCATATACCTGCTGGGAACTTGCTGTAGAGCTCTGCCCCTACAAGGACCCAAGGACCAGACTCAGAGACTCAAGGACTGCCAACTTGGTTGGATTTAGAACCACCTAGGGGACACAGTTCTGGGTATATCTGTGAGGGTATTTCCACAGAGGTTTAACTGAGATGGGAAGATCTGCCCTGAATGTGGACAACCATCCACTGGGCAGGGGTTCCAGAATGAATAAAAATGGTAAAGGAGGAAGTCAGTTGAACAGCATTCCTTTCTCTCTGCTTCCTGACTGTGGATGCCTCAGTCCTGCTGCGACGACTTCCCCACCATGATGGACTATGACCTCAAAATGCGAGCCAAAATGAACCCCTCCTTTCTTCCATTGCTTTTGTCAAGTATTTTGTCAAAGCATTAACAAAAGTAACCGCTACAACCACAATACTGATATTTTTGAGGCCTTCTCATGGGCCCTCTAGTTTCATAGGCCACAGTGAGATTCATATACTTTGGTCAGGTCATAGACCACAGTCAATTTAACAGGCCACAGTCAGGTTCACAGACACAGTCAAATTCATAGACCGTGGCCAGATTCCTAGACCACAGTCAGGTTCATAGACCACAGTCAGGTTCGTAGACCACACTTGGGTTCACAGACTACAGTCAAGTTAATAGACTACAGTCAGAGTCACAGATCACAGTCAGATTCATAGGCCATAGTCAGGTTCATAGGTCATGGTCAGTACATAGGCCAGTCATGGAGAGCCCCTGTGCTCGTCCCTCACTCTGAATACCCAGTGCAGTGTCGTCTTTAGCTTGTGTTCTGTTTCCAACATGCAAAATGACATTTTGAGATCTCTCTGTTGAGATTTGGCAACTTTATGAATCTTCCTAGAATAAGCCAGGGAACCCCTGGTTCTCTAAGAACCCACTCTGCAGCAGCCAGCAGGCGGCTGGGGGCTAATGCCTGGGCCTGGCCTTCCTTCCTGGACTCCCCTTGTCTCTTCCATCCTATTATGCCACTGGCAAGACCTCCTGGAGGCTCCAACAACCTTGGGCTCATTCTCCTGCCCTTCATCCCAGCCTGGAATCACCTCATTAGCTTTTAATAACTCCTACAGCCCCTGGTTACCTGGCTCAGCTTCTCTTTGTCTCGTATGCCACCCTGTTCCTGCTGTTTATCTGGGTTCCAGATAATTATCTTCTGCCTCCAAGTGGGGTGGGCTGGTTATCTCCACTCTCCACCCGCTCGCTGGATTTTCATAAAAGGGATGTGTGGCCTGTCTCTCAGCTGGCTTTGGGCAATGGTAGCTTTTAATCAGCTAGAGTTAGAATTGCATCAGCAAAGGAGGTGGGCGTGCAGAGGGCATATCTCAGGAGCACAGTCCTGGAGTTCTAATAATTTCAGAGCCTGTCTTTAAAGTCCAGTGCCATCATTTTATTGAGAAACATTGATTATATATGGAAGAGGTCAGTCCCTAGGAAGACATACCAAGAGGTGTAACAGATTGCATGAACTATAGAAAGCGGCTATTTGGATGCTTGCGCTGCTAGGTAGATTCCAAGTGTATTGATGTATTAGTTCATTGAATCTTCATCACAACTTTATAGAAAACACACTAGTTTTATAGATGAGCAAGAGAGGCACAGAGAGGTCAAGTCACTTTCTGGGGGTTGTACAGGTTCTGTTCACCAAAAGACAGTGGTATAAATTGGACTCTCTGGGGGCCACTCCATAGTCTCAACCACTGAGCTATAGTTTCTCAACTGGTTTTGGAGCTAGTTTCTATTACCAGCTATGTGGCTTAGGGCAAATATGTGCCCTGGTAAAGCCTCAGTTTCTCCACGCATCTCCCTGGCAGCACCATAGCGAGGGGCAAAAAGAAATGGCACACAGAAAAGTGAGTGGCTGTCTTCTTTAATCCCTAACACTGCACTGAGGCAGGGTGGGGAGCCATGATGGCTTCTCCTACAGATCCCATTCTAACATTCCTCTCCTGAGAGAAACTGGGCTGAGGGGTGATCCCAGGAGTTTCTGGTGATGGGCTGATTCTCAGTGTATCTCTCAGCAAACAAACAAGTCCATGGAACTTGAGATTTGACCCAGTGGTGGAGTGCTTGCCTTGCATGCACGAAGCCCTGGGTTTGGTTCCCAGCGCCATATAAAGGAGGCATAGTGGAGCATACCTACAATCCCAGGAGGTAGAGGGAAGGTGACCAGATGTTTAAGGTCATCCTCAGCTACATAGTGAACGCAAGGCCAGTCTGGACTAGGTGAGACCCTTTTTCAAAACCAAAAACCCTGAACAAATCCAATTTAACCATGGGGTCCTGACTTTATTGTTATTTTAATCAACACTCTGCATTTTCCTCTTCCCTTTAATGAGTAGGTAATTCTGACCCCTGTAGGAAGAGCTTTAAGAAAGGTGCAAAACAAAATTGACTCTGTTCACCTAATGTGACTTGCCTTAGCCACACTTCACCCTGTTGCATTCTGATTTTATATAGCCTCACTGCTGCTGAGCCAGGTGGGATGAGAGACCCTTCATTACAGAAAATCTAAAACAGCAACTGCCATAGACAAAATATGCAAGAATTTGAGGAGTGGGGTGGGAAGAGAGGGAGGGAAGGGGTCTGGAGGGACAGGAAAAGAACAGCAGAAGAGCCACGGAGGAGCTGGCTGACAGAGGATGGTCAGGCCACTGGATGGCTAGACTTCCTTTTGTTTGGTTGACTGGTTGCTGTTATTTTTGAAATAGGATCTTGCTATGTAGCCCAGGCTATGTAGTCCAGCATGATCCTCCTGCTTTAGCTTTCTGAGTGTTGGGATCGTGGGCATGCACGGCTGCCTCTATGCCTTGACCCCCTTGAGGGTTTTTTCCTTGAGGGGTATGAGAATGGAGTGATGGGATAGAAACAGAAATGCCTCTCACCTAACAAGCCCCTGCTCTTCCAAGTTGTTCTGCATAGTCAAAACAAGAGTCAAGTGCTCATTCGTGTCTCTGGCAACTACATGTTATCACAAACATGTTTCAGGCCTGGAGATATAACTTGGGGTAGAACCCCGCCTAAGCCTAAACAAGACCCTAGGTTCAATCCCCAGGACTACCCCCCCCCCAAAAATATATATATGGCTGGGGAGACAGCTTAGATCAGACGCTCAAAGCCCATGTCCAAAGCTTGGTGCAGTGGTGCATTTTATCACATGGCAGAGGCAGACCTCTTTCCCCTTTTTTTTTCCTTTTTTTTTAAAAAAAACAAACAAACAAACATTTATTTTGTGCATGTGGCAAAGGGTGGCTTGGAGGGGTGGCTTGCCAAAGTGTGCATGTGGAGTCCAGAGGACAATTTATGGGTGTCAGTTCTCTCCTTCCACCATGTGGGTCCCAGGGATCAAATTCAGGTTGTCAGGCTTGGTGGCAAGCTCCTTTCCTGACTGAGTCTCTCTGGCCCTCCTTCTAAAGCCCCTAGAACTCAGTCATGGGGCTCTACCTTCATTAGATCTAACCCTAATCAACCCCAGAGTCCCCATTTCTAAACCCAGTCTCTTCCCACCATCACAACTTTGCATCCCTGTCACCTCCTAAGCCCACTTTCAACCTGCTTTCAGCTATCCATTATCTCCACAGCCACCAGGAAGCCCACATACCTACCTCTGTCCTGAGTCTCCACACAAGCCTCCTGCCTGTTCCTGCTACGTCCAGTCTGGGGTACTGCACCCACCAAGGGGATCTTCCAATCTGCACATCAGCTTCAACAATGGGCACATGCCTGCTGCTGTAATAAAAAAAAATACCTTAGACTGGTTCATTTATAATCTGGGGCAGCTAAGGCAGAATTAGGTACATCTTCTGGAAGGAGGAATAGGAAGACATGTCTGACATCTCAGTGAGGGTCTAAGGACCCTCCCTGGTCCCTCCTATGGGAGAACTTCAACAGGCCCTATCTTGAGGGTCTGAAATAATCCCAGCTGCTCTGATTCAGACAGTATTGTGGGCTGGGGAGATGGCTCAGTGGGTAAAACGCTTTCTGTGGGAACTTGAGTTCAGATTCCCAGCACCCACACAAAAGCTGCACGTGGTCGTACACACCCAAAGTCCAGCACTGGGGAACAGAAATAGGCAGATCCCTTGGGCTTGCTGGCCAGCCAGTCCAAATAAAACATCAAGCTCTAGATTCAGAGAGAGACGGTCTCAACAATGGAGAGTGATAGAGGAAGATACCCAGAGTCATGGTCTCCACATGTACATGCACAGGGAAGTACATTTATACACATGCACACATACACATGCACCACACACACATACACACACACAGATGGTGATGGCTATTATGCTCAGAGGACAGCATCTCACACTTGCGTTCCTTGGCTCATGGCCCCCTCCTCCATCTCTGAAGCCAGCACAGCACTACAGCCTCTTTAAACCTTGTCCCGACACCCTCTCTC